AAATCTAACCAATAACATATAGGCATGTTTATTATAGGCCAACTACTAATGTTCTTATGAGCAAATCTCTTAAAGTACCCCCTAAGTTTTAGGAAATTGACTTTAACCCTACTGTTTAAAAGTTGTCTCAGAGTACCCTTAAGTTTTCTGACAATTGACTAAACCCTCCCCTCCCATTAGCATCCGCTAAAGTTCCATCACTATCCATTCACATGACATAATTCTTGTAAAACCCAAAATTACCCTTTTGCAGTCAATTTTTCCCTTCATTGTTCATCAAATTTTCAAAATAAAACCTAACAGATAGAACCAGTCTAACAGTCTTCCTCCTCCTCACTTTCTATTCTCTTCTTTCCTTCTCTTCCTTTTCTCTTACTGCCTCCCCTCTTTCTTCTTCTCCTTTGCTCCGTCATTCTCTCATTATTCTTCTCCCTACTTGCCTTGTGTTCTCCCCTGTTTTATCATTATCAAACCCAAACTGAGAAGTGCTGGTTCCATCATTATAACTGCAGAACCATTCTATTGTCTATCTAGAGTCTGTTGGGAGAACCCAATATTGATAGTCCTCTTAACAAATAGGCACCCTGACAGTTGATGGGTGGTGTTGATGGGCGGCCGTCATAGGTGGTGGCATTGCTGGAGTGAATCTCAGCTCCCTTACAAGCTTGCTAGTTCTGAAACTCAATTGAAATGGATTATCAGAGAGAGAATCCTGTACAAATTCCTTGATGAAGCGAATCTGTTGCAACTGGCCCCACTTCCATTATGTGCAGATATGGAGTTTTGGGTTTAGAGACACACATGTATAATATTCTTTCACCAAGCATTTCCAAGTTGGTGAATAGCTTGGATGAACAGTTGTCGATTAATACCAACATCTGGTTGCCTGCCTCCAGAGATCAGGATTCTCTATCCAATTAGTTGGCCCCACACCTCACAGCGTTGCAGACCTATTTCAGTTGGAACAACTTACAAGGTCAGGCTTCTCTAAATGCTACAACCGTTCTCTTTGTGAGGAGCACCTCATTTTGATTTTACCATCAAATTAAAGCCACCATCAGTTTCAAACATGTGTTGTGGTTGAAAAATCTGGTGATCTTTTGAAGAGAAAATTTGAAGAGGAGATTGACGGGCATGATGCAGTAATACGGGACAATGAAGCTCCTGCTTATTCCCAGGCTGAGCCTGATGCATTTGATTCTGGAATGGAAGGTATTGAAATTTCTGGAATAAAAAAAAAAAATCTCCTTATATGCTTATTCAAACGTTTCTGTTTTGAAAATTTAAAGAATGAAGGGTAATAGTCTTTTCCATATTTGCGAAGTGCAATGGGAAGATCAAGATCAACTGCAACATCATTGTTAGGTACAGAAGCATCATCAATGGGATCAGAAGCAACAACAGGCTCAAGGGAAATACCTAGAAGAGGAACAGATTGTGAGCTTTTATCCCCAAAACATTCCCCCTGAGGAGAAACACCAAAGAAAAAGTATGTAGACCTGATGGTGGAGCTAATGGAGTAGATGAAGGAATAGGAAGAGGAACAAATTGTGAGCTTTTATCCCCAAAGCATTCCCCCTGAGGAGAATCACCAAAGAAAAAGTATGTAGACTCAAAGAAAGTAACATCCATAGTGACAAACCTAACACTGGATCATAACAACAGTACCCATTCTAGTTTTTGAGCATACCTAAGAAAGACACATTTCTTAGCCTTAGGATCCAGCTTCCTATGATAAGGACGAAGAATGTGACAAAAAAAAAACACATCCAAAAACTCTCAAAGGTATATGAAATATCTCACCCTCTAGAAACAGAAGAGTGTGTGGCACCTTAACCCAAGGATGCATGAAAATACATGGTTGAACAAATACACAACCGTGAGAACTACATCACCCCAAAACTGAACAGGAAGTGAAGCATACACTATAAGACTTCTTGCCACTTCTACAATGTGTCTATTTTTCCTTTCTACTACCCCATTATGTTGCAGTGTATAATCACAACTACTCTGATGAATCACCCCCATGCTCTAAAAAAAGTGGGCTAAATCCTTCTCAAAATACTCTCTAGCATTGTATGATTTGAAAATCTCAGTCCTCACTCCAAACTGTGTGAGAATCATCTACTAGAACTATCACACCAAAATAGGTACCTCATCATGCAACCCCATCAAATATATCCAAGAATACCGAGTGTAATCATCCACAAACAAAAGAAAATAGCAATAACCACCCATTGGAGAAATATGATAAGGTCCCCATACATTAGTGTGAACAATATCAAAAGCAGAAGAACTTTTTTTATTACTTGATTTAAAAGAATGTCTGCAATGCTTTCCAAACTGACCAAACTTTCACGCTCTAGACTGGACAACTGAACAAACTCAAACAATTTTGGAAATAAGCATTACAATGAACTGAAAAAAAGATTACTCAAACAATTATGCCACAACATAATCTAACTCACTAACTCTAACCCATTACTACTACTACTAACATGGTTACTGATATCTCATAGGCTCATTATACTCCGTTCCCTCACGACCACTTTCAATCATCCTCTTTGACTCTAGATCCTACAAAACACAATTACCAAGAAGGAAAGTCACTGAACAATTCAGAAGTTTTGCCAAACTACTCACAAAAAGAAGATTCGTGTGAAGTCTAGGAACATGTAAACCAGAGGGCAAAGTAATACCATCAATGACCCTAGTTGTCCCTCTCCCAACAATGGGAATATAAGAACCATCTATTGTAGAGACTCTATCTCTACTAGAACACAACTGGTAAGAAGTAAAAAGGGTAGACATATTGGCCATATGCTCAGATGCTCCTGAATCTATAATTCAGGAAGTCCCTCCTTATCTGAGGTGGATGCATAATTTGCAATGGCATATGAATTACCTATGTGATCAAAAGTGGTAGTGTGACTAGCTCCTAAGCTTCTTGCACTTCGCTACCCACCTGAAGAACTAGAACTAGTCGAATCCTTCTTACTTACAAGCTGCCCATACTTCTCCAATTCTGTCCTAACTGCTGCTACTACAATGGACTCCAAGTCAGATTGAGTAAGAGGCACTAATGAGTCTTCAATAATTGCCACATTAGCATTCCCTTTCTTGTTCTTGACCCAGACTGGTATAAGATGTGGGTGGAGCTTCCAGCAGGTTTCTCTAGTATTGCTTAGGCTTCTTGCAGTAATCACACACCAAGTCCTTCTTGTCTTCCCTCCTAACCTCATTGCTCCCCCCCTATCTCCTTTTGGCTTAGGTTTAAGTGTACTAACCATAGCCGACCGGTCAATCCCAAACTATCTCATCATAACATTCCTCTTACTCTCCTCTCCAGACACAAAGGCATATGTTTGAGAAAGAGTCGCACTTTCTCTAGAAAGAATGTGTTGTCTGGCAATATCAAATTCAAGGTTTAGTTTAGCCAAGAACTCAAATACCCTATTCTTCTCCAGCATTTTTTGATAGGTTGCAACATCCTTAGTATTCTCCCAGACCATAGTCTCTAAGTGATCTATCTCCTACCAAAGTGTTTTTAGCATAGAGAATTACATAGCAAGAGGTCTATCTCCCTATTTTGTATTAATCACATGGTTCCTCAACTAATAGGTTCTGGCTACATTCTATTTCTGGGAATAGGTCTCAGTCACTCCATCCCAAATCTCCTTTGGAATATTAGCCCACAAAAAAATTTACCAATGTGAAGTAACATTGAATTACACAACCAAGACATCACCATGTAATTTTCTTGCACCCACCGGGAAGAATATGTATCAGGTTTCTTCTCCTCCTCAATAATGTACCCCAATTTCGCACGAGCACCAATGGCCATTTTGGTTGATTGTGCCCGTTCTAAATAGTTTATACCATCCAATCTTATTGTGGTAATAATCCCAAATCCAAAAGGATCATTGGTACCTCCTACACCTAGAACCAGTCCACCAGCTAACTTTTGATTAGTACTTTAACCCTCCATTTCAACTTAATCAATTTAAAAACAAAAAAGGATTAGGAAAAAACACTCCAAGATCGTATCGATCTCAGAAATAAGGGTGGAAAGCCTTTTCAGAGGAAGAAAACCTTACCCGGAGAGAAATCTCCCTTCCTAAGAGTTGTGGGAGAAGAGAGAAAAAGGTATCGATCTCTCCAGGAAGCTCAGAAAAAAGCCATAAATTGAACTACCCCTATTAAAAACTTAAAGAAGTTCAGAAAGGTCTAAGTACCCTACACCAGGTCAAAAATGAAAAGTCCAACTTAACTAGGATTCTTCCCCACACTCTAGTTCCTCGTGATTTTGATGCCAAAATACAGATCACCTTTGATGACTCAAACCCACCAAAAAATCATCAGGCCTCTATCTCCTCATGCAGATGGCTGATCTAGGACTGCATGAAGCCATGAATCAACCTCAAGAAACCCTTGCTCTAATACCAAGTAGAAATTTGCTGAAACCAAAAACTGTAAAAGAAAGAGGAAGAAAAGAAGTGCTTTGTGAGAGAAGAAGAGAAGAGAAAGAGTAAAGAAACGAAGAAGGAAAAACTAATCTGGCCACCCCCTCCCATTAATATTTATACTTAAAATAAAAACTATGTACAATGACTGATATGCCCTTACAGGGCGGCTGATACCAAAAAAAAAAATTCAATAAAAAACATAAAAGCACTACTCTAAAATCTCCCAAAAAATATGTTGTGGTCCCCACTTCCTATCTAAACAAAATCAAGTAACAAAACTATAAAAATCCTCAACAGATATGAGTACAAACCTTGATTTTCTCATCTTGCTAGACCATTTTAACAATATAATATAAAACTACTTTACTCAGCATCCTCCAAACAGTAGAAAATACACAAAAAGAAATGGTTTTACTAAAAAGTGACTTCCAAGTTTGTCTTCCATTGAATTATATGGAGCCTAAGAAATTTTGTCCTGCTCAAGAATATACTGGTTAATAGTAAAAAGAGTGCAACAAAGTATGTATTACTAACACGTGATATCCACAGTTGCTGCCCATATTGATGCCACTAATAACCTGTGAACAGGTACATGAAAAATATTAGTAATTCACAAAATCAAGTTTTTCTTTTATCTGTAACAAATGATTTCTTTATCAGTTTCAGAAATTTTAAAGATTTTATAAAAAGAAATTTTGATTTACAAAGTCACTGACTAAAATACTACCCCTTATCCATCCATTATCTTTTAGTGTACATTCAATCTCCATGGCAAACCCTACCCCAGTACAACTCCTGGAATTAAATCCCCTTGCCTAATAAGGTGTCAGCTAGTCCATTACCTGATTACTTTATCCAATTGAATGATATTCATATTTCTCTAGGTATCACCTCTCTTATAATGTGCCTATTCACCCAAGGTTCTTTTTAGTTTTTTTTTTTTTCAAAAATGTCTCGGGGGGTCAGTTTTAGGCTTGCATACCCAGCTGAAAGTGATGAAATTCCGAAACACCGCTTATTTGGGGTTTTGGAAAGCTAATGATTTGATACAATGCACCTGATACAGGGTGTATCGTATTGAAATTTTGAACCTTGATTCCACCACCACCTTAGAATCTCCTCAACCAAAAGATTATTGTAGTTGAGGGATTTTTCCATTCTTAAACCTTTTTCTTTTTTTGAAGAGTAATGAAGAAAATTTTATTAAATAGAAATGATAGATACAAACTTATTGGGTGTCAAGGTAACACCCAACCAACAGAACACTAGGAATTGCAGTAGTAGTATTGCTAGCACCTCATCTCTACTAGAGTTGCCAAAGCCTATAGGCCCAGAATAGATGGTGGCTATCATGCCATGGCAGTCCCTAAACACACCTCCAATACCTGAATTTCCAGGCTACCTATACCGCAGCCATCAAGGTTCAACTTGATAGTTCCACTTGCTGTGGTAAGTACAATAAGAAACCCATTTGCTGTTAATAAAGACAACACCACGAAAATGTAACTTTAGAAAAGAATGCAATCCCTATAAAAGAAATTTTCCCTATAGACCTCAGTTCCAGCATTGAGTAATAACATTTACCAATCCATCCAAACCAATAGAGTGGGAAAGCCTCAACCATTGAACTAAAGGACAGTCTTCAAGCCCCACAAGAATCTCTTTTCCTCATTAGCTAGATCATACATAGGTTATAGATGCTTTCACCTTCTTTAAATGATGCATACACTAGATTGGATCAGGAGTGAGCCCGATAATATTATGTCCAAGCAACGTTTAAGAATTTCTATGCTAGAGGAAGGACACTCCAGAAACAAATCCAAATCCCTACTGAACCATTCCAGCTTTAATTTTATCATAACAAATAGTTAATCTTCACTTCAAATAACATTCTGTCTTTCTTCCAACCACCACAAATGATATGGTACCTCCCAAAAACATGCACCATCTAATTATGCATCACAGGGGGAGACCCAAGAAATGAATCCATATCAACAATGCAACAAGACAATTACTAGATCAGCTTCTTTTTGGGTTTCACATATCAAAAAATATTAGGTGACAAAAGCCAAGTTTTCTAATCTCTTCAGAGAGTCTAACGTGTGTTGTCCTCATTGTGCTCAACTTGCCCACCACATATCCAAAATCCCTCCCTCTTGGAGGAGCGGACTTCCTAATTTTTCATACAATGAACATAGAAATGGGATACAAACCTGCACATTGAGAAAATTGAATTGTGATTTCTGAACCATCCAAATCCCATTTAACCTTCAAGACCATCTTCTCATTCTGGACCTGAGAACCTTAATAGATTGCATCTTAACTTTTTACTTCAATTTATGACCCTTTCTCTGTTTTGTAGAGATTAGGAGAATATATATTGGGGTGGGAGTTGACTCATTCAACACCCTTCATGCTGTTTCTCATGTTTTCTCCCTTTCAACCCTATTATCAAGAGAACAACAGACTGTCATGGTATCAGAACAGTCCCTGAACTGGTTCAATTGGGATGAAGAGTGTGTGATTCTTCGCTGGTAAGGACTGTGGTTGCCAACTCAAGATCTTGATTGGAGACTATTTTAAATTTATTTAGAAAACTTTTCTGGAATTTTCTGTCTCGATTTAGAGGGATTTCTGTTCAATCTCAGATTTGAAGTCTTCTGGAAATCAAACTGCTTCACTTCTGCTCAGCTCAGCACCATTGGTCTTCCCATTCTCTGATTTGTTTAGATTGAAACTTTTGATTAGGTGTCACCCTAATCATTCAAATCGGGTACATAAGTTTGATTTTGGTCGTCTTAAAACCTCATCTTCTACTGCTATTATGGGATGCCATATATTATTTTTCGTTAAATCAGATTTTATTCCTCTACAAGATCAGGTTTCAGAGTTGTTTTTCTTTGAGATGACATATGATAAGACTGAAACCATTCTTGCTAAACTGAATGGAGCCAACTATGGAATGTGGAAATTCCATTTTGATTTTTATGTTGAAGGGAGAGTAATAGAAGGCTATTTGAATGGTCCAGTCACTCAGCCTAGTGAAGTCGACACCAAAGCTTATCAGAAGTGGAAGTTAGATAATGGAAAACTGGTTTCCAGGATTTTTAGCATGATTGAGTCTAGTATTGTTGTGCCCATGAGGAGGATGTGCACTGCCTATGACATGTATTCTTATCTAAAGAAACCTTATCATCGGTTTAACATCTAGGTAATATAAGCTTGATTTAGAAATATTTGCCTATTGTGAAGGAGACAAGAAAATTCAAGAATATTATGCTGGCTTTCCTGATCTGCGGGCAGAATATGAACTGGTTCATTTCGATCCGGTTTCCTGATCTGCGGGCAGAATATTTGCCTATTCTATTGATACTTAACACGTATCTACAGAAACATTTTGAGAAGCAGAAAGTTGGCCAGTTTCCTATGATACGTCAACCAGAACATGAGATTATTAGATCCAATATGTTGAGCAAAGGGGTTCTTCCAAATTTGGCTTCAGTATTGGGCAGTGTTTAGAAAACTGGATCGAAATGGCCGGTCAGACCGGTTGAACCGTGACCCGGGACCTTGGCCAGTTCAGTCTTGCCCCAATAACTGTTTTTGTTAAAAAGCCGGTGAAAACCAGCTGACCGTCCAGTTTAACCAAAAAAACGGTGAAGAAGTCCAAGTTTCATGAAACAACCCGGGTCTTCGATAAATTGAAATTTTAAAATGTATTTAACAAGATTTGAACCCATGAGCTCTTATTCTATATATTGCTTAATTACCACTAATCCACCTCTTAACTTGTGTTAATTAATGACTCTTTATTGTAATTATGCATGTATTTTAAAGAAAATGTAAATTAAGAGACTTGAACCTTGGTTATTTGATTTAAAAACTAAGGAACTTGCCATCTATACACCATATTTAAGTATATTAAAAGTTGTAAATTATTTTATATATAGTATTTATATGACCTGTAATATATATGTATATGCCACGTTATCATGGTTCGACCTCCAGCCCAACCCCGATTGAACCTCTGACTTGTGACCCTCTCCCTTCTCCAGTTCTATATGCCCGGTCCGGTTCTTTGAACATTGGTATTGGGTGAACTTCTTAGGGAGGAAACAAGGTTTCTAACTACAATTGGGCTTGACGAGAAATCAATTGAGACTAGAACTGATATTGCTTTCATAAATCATAATTAGCAAAGGAAAGAAATCAGGTCAAAGGGGTCCATCTAAAGTTCAAATGCTATGAGTGTAAGGAGTTCAGCCATGTCATGACCCACTATAGGAAGAAAAATGTTTGTACCTATTGCAAACAACATGGACACATTATCCCTGATTGTCCTATCCGACCTATAAAGGGGCTCGGAAGAAAACCATGCCTTGTGCTTATCAAGCCATTGAGGGGTAATCAACTGATTCTTCTACATCCTTGGATGATCAAAAAATCATCAAATTCCTTCTCTATCTTCTCTGCTTTTTCTACTATTGGCCTGGCTAATAAATCTCCTAGTAATTGTTCTTCTCTTTCTTATTTTTCAATTATTAACTCTAATGCTTCAAATCATATAATAGGGGCATATCCCAGTCAACCCAATAATTTACATGTACCCCATCACAAACATATTATTATGGTTAATGGTGAAAAGTTAGACATCATTGGTTGCAATATCTACCTCTGCCCATCTCACCCACTACTTCCTTTTCCCTTTCTAAAACCCTTTTTGTTTCTAACCTAACTACATGTAATCTGAGGAGCTATACTCGAAGTAGCAAAGAAGAGAAGAGAACCACTGAAATGAAGAGAATGTCGAACTGTACTAGCCAGTCGACCAGTCTTTTATTTATAGATGAATG